CATTCATTCCCTTGTTGGTGGTGGTGGCATCATTGTCATTACTGTCAGTCTTTCGCAAGTGTGTCTTGTGACAGTCTGTTAACTGTAGTCTAGCCTGGTCAATTCCCTTGTAAGCTTCAGCTGTCAAAACGAGCAGCAAAGTGGAGGAGGCAACACACTCTGAGCCCCAGGAGTGCCAGTAATGAAATGTCTGAGTCCCAGGCCAAAGCACCAGCCCATATGTAAGTGAACTCAGCTCCTGGGCCAGGAGAAATTACGTGCTACTTACTGATCTCATAGCTACATCTATGAGGGTGAGTCGAAAAGTATCCGCACTGTGGCTGTAGAATTTATTTTAATTAACGTTTAGAAAAGAGAAATACATCATTTTTCAACATAATCTGCTTGCTTTTTGTCCATCTGTCAACAAGCTTTTGTATGCCCTCATTAAAAAATGTTTAGGCTGAGCTGCAAGCCACGAATGCACTGCTGTCTTCACTTCTTCATCAGAAGTGAATCTTTGTCCTCGTAGGGCTGCTTTCAGGAGACCAAACAGGTGAAAGTCCAATGAAGCAAGATCAGGACTATAGGGAGGATGCTTTAACACCTCAAAATGAAGTTTTTGCAGAGTGTCGACAGGAGCTACAAGAAGTGGGAGAAAAGCAGTATCTTTAATCTTCCCATTCTGTTGTAGCTGGAGAACTGGGGAAGTGTTGAAAAGGAGTATGCTATTGAGAAGTGACAAGATCACATTTCCAAGGGGAAATATTTTCTCCTCTCCAATTTCTGGCACATATATGTTGTCATTTTTTTCCCTTTTTGGTGCTTTTCAATTGGTAACTTGGCAAATGGTCTCTGGGAAATTAGGGATAATTCACCAATTAGGAATAATTTGCAGTCCCATCTTGTCAGTTTCCATGTATGTTATTTGCTCCACTGCACAATCCCTTTTGACAGCTAAAACATAACCCAAAATGGACCAGGCAGGACTACACATATTCGACAGCTGTAACAAACGACCAAAAAAAAATTACAAGAATACCTGTGCAAGTTTTGTGAGTCAAATTTTTTTTAAAAATGGGTAGCGAGCCAGTGATGGTCACTCCAAAATGCCATTTGGGCCTGTAACTGGCAGCAGCAGCAACATTTTGCTGTGTGTCAAGCAGCTTGCTAGCCAATCCCTGCACTCTACAAAAAAGTTTGTTTCCTGGGTTTGGGGGACATGACAACTCATTCTGGATTGAAGAACCCCTAGGGAAAAAAAACCTGGTTGTTTCTGGAAAAAAGAAGCCATCCTGTGGGAAGCAATTTCAGTTCAGATGCCACAACAACCCACTGAAACTAGTTGCACAAGAACAGTTGTGCAGTCATGGGAACTAGGTCAGTGAATGCTCCCACCAACTGGAACCAACTTCCAGAACATTTTTTTTTATTTCAAAAGGTAGTTTTACAGGATTTTAGGAATTTTGCATTTTCAAGATTATTATAACAGTTTTGTCCATTGATAAAGTAATAGTTCTTGTCATTTTCCTCTATTCTAGAAGCCACCATCTTCCAGTGGGAAAAGTAGTGTACAAAAGAAATGAAAATAAATATCTGCAAAGCTCAAAAACATTTGAAATGCAAAATATATCAGTGTAGCCTATTCTGTTTACTTTTACCTGTCAACTACAGGGCAGTGCAGAAAATGAATCACCTGCTTCAAAGATCTTTTTCTTTTGTGTTAGCTTCAAACTCAATCCAATGTGAAATACAGTTTTATGAATGGAGTCTTTGCTGCTATTTAAGTCTTATGGCCAATTACTGTACTTATTAGCACTGGTATCTTACTAGATCCAGATTATTCTTAGTGACCAAAGAATATCCTAAATCAACTCTGTGGTGACTGGCTGATTCATTCCTAAACAATACATAAATCCTGTTCAGCAACCATTTTACTTGCTTATTTGTAGCATGTGACCTGGTGACATTGCAGAGCATGTAAAGAAGAAGAAAAAAGAGAAATAAACTCTCCTTGGTGATATTTTTTATTTACACATACACACAGTTTTATACTACCAGGCTTAAGGAAACGATTTTGGTCGTGAATACTATGCATGGAAAGAATGTTGAATTGTACCTGATCTTGGCCAGAGTTGATTATCCCAGGTCCCATAATGACAACTGCAGCACAGCTTAGTTAAAATACAACAGTGAACTGAAAAGGAAATCCAATCCAATCTACATTGTTAAAGCGTTGTTGCCAGAAGTTCAGGGCCACACAGCTCTAGACAACTAACATTGCATCACAGGGGTGACTTTGGTGCCACGAAATTAACTGAATAGTCACTACAGAAGGTAGAGAAACGGTAACTGCAGAATGTATGACACTCATTGGATCTGCAAACATCATGTGTGAGATAAATAAATGTAAGAAAAAACTGCATAACCCACTTCAAACTACAACTAATAAGGGAATACTATTCCTTAAATTCAGCTCTCACAATTTGGTAGGGTAATTCATTCAAACAATCCATTCTGAAATAAATATTGCAGTCTTAATAAAAGGTATGCTTTATAATCATCAAACAAACAACTTACAAGACCATTCTGGCAACTGTGGCAAAGCAATTTCACAACAACATGGTGCTATACTGGTATTTCATAGGCAACTTTTACAGCTGGCAAAACACGTCAACCCAAATATTTAGAGTACAGCATTTATTTTTAGGTTCAATAAACCTGCTTTTGGTTTTGAGGAGGTACTTGAGCTGCATGTTTTTCATTTGAAATAAAGTCTGGGGAGTAGTGGTTGACGCCTAGCTTTATGCATGCTTTATGCAGCTTTTCCATCTCTTCCTCTTAACAGATTTCTTTTCTGGTAAGAAAAAGACAGAAGAATTGTAGGAAAACATGGAAGTGCTACAAACAGCAGATGTCTTTGTCTGAATGTCCATACAATTCCATGAAAAAGTCAGCTCAATTGCACAGTAAAAATTAAAGCTTTCGCTATAAGCACCCAAAGAGAAATTACTTTTGACAAAAAGCACTCTTAGATATGAACACATGAAAGAAACAGCTAGGCTTAAATATTCACTGAGCAGATGCATTGCTGTTACAAAAGAATATGTGCACTGTCTGAACACTTAAATGCATTGGCTAACCACTTAAATATTTTGGCTAAATACAGGAATCACAATCTTTTAGGTTTTGTTTTTACACTGCTTACAGTTTCAGAACAAGAGAATCCTACCAAGCAACTGAACTTGAGAACTTCATTAACTTGTCCAGTGCACACTTCTTCCAATACTTTTCTTTGGATTCCCTGATCAGAAAAGAATTCCAACCTCAGAGCTGGTGATCTGTGCTTGGATTCCACACCCCATCCCTCACCACTCCACAATGCAGACTGAGTTGAAAGAACTCCTTTGGCTCCTTCTCTGTGGTCATAACAGTGTTCCATGTGGAGGCAGGAAAAGGAGAAGCCTGAGACTGCCAGGATATAATGAATCCTGATGCTGCTGCAGCCTCCTTACCTCTTCCTCCAAAGTGTTGCAACTAGATGGCCAATATTGGCCATCTAGCTGAATTGCAGAGTAAGAGGTATGGAGAGGCAAAGATTGCTTCCACATTCTTCTGCCCATCATAGGTTGTCTGAGGCTTACAGGCATCCCACTGGATTGTGCCCTAAAGCAAGCATAAAAAGTTGAAATATCATAAAACTGAAGTTGGTCTCTACAGAATTTTTTTTACCTATCTGTAACAGAACGATCAGCATGATGGGTTTGGATTCATGATGGGTGAACTGTCAGGCAAAACTGTTATCGCCACCCAAACCACCACAATGTTGAAATGCAATTCATTTTATTCCTGACCCAGTTCTGAAGTGCAGATCCCGTTACGTTGTATGCCCTGCAACAGCAAGAGCCACTTCACAAGCTTCCAACTTTGCCCTCAACCCCATCAGCTTCATTTCCCATTTGTCTGTAGCAGCTGTGGTAACAAGGAGGGTTTTCTGGGGGATTCTGTACAAAATATTCCTGATGCCTTGAATGCTACAATAGCAACAGGAGCAAGGAATCTTGTGAAATGTAATTGTTAATATAGATATCAGGAACCCTGAAAACATTTTGTCCCAGCAGTCTTTGTACCAAGGATATACCTGAGTCAAATTCAAGCGGGACATGAATTAAAAGTGGTATTGATGTTGTGATGCAGGTAAGCATTACAACTAGAAATAGTATGTACGGCTTTACCAGTGATTACAAACCTGCCAGGGATGAGTACAAAACTGTACTCAAATAGGTTTCTTTGTAGATCTGGACATTCAGAATTATTTGATTTTGTTTGTAGCCAAGCACTGACCCTTTACTGACCTACCATTCTTCTATCTTTGGCTTTGTTCAGATTGGTGAACAAAGCAAGGTGAACAGTTTGCTGCAGTTTTCCATTTGTTTGTTCTTTCACTCACAGCCTGCTAATGCACACTGCACGGCCTGTCTGCACTGAATAAAACCATACAAACACCAACTGATTAATCCGACCGCATTTGTTAGATCATGCTATTGCATAAAGACTCCTTTTGCACTCAGTGAGCATACGCTGTTGTGCACAATCGGTAGCCATTTCATCCCAATTCTAAAATTAATTTTTGAAGATCTCCAAGTTAATCTGGCTCACAGGGAAGATCCAATCCACTGGCAATAAACTGCAACAGGAACATCTTTCCTAATTTGGAGAGGGAAACAGGTTTAAGCACCAAAAAGCTACTGTGTTCTTGAGCATCAACTCCCCTACCCATCCAATAAACTATCTCACAGCGTTGTTAAGATAGATGCCTTCCTTTATTCCTTGGAGTAACTAAAGGATAAAAACTTTGTAAGTTGAAATTGCACCAATGAACCATTGAACAGTTACTCCAACTAGATATATCAGTAAAAATGATGATACATTGTTGAATACTAATCACTGAAATGCACTCAATTTTACATGGCTGAAGCTTGCTGTTCAGATATGGTAGCCAGCAAGTAGAGGATACTCACGACATTCTTTCTCATCACTTTCATCAAAGCAGTCTGGCAGCCCATCACACTGCCAGGCCCCCGGAATACATCGTCCATTACTGCACATAAAGTTTCCAGGAATATTGCATTCATTTGTCAAGTTATTCCAAGGTAACAGTTGTCCTTCTGTAACAAGAAATGATAAAAATACAATGTTTACAAATATAGAGACTGCTTTTATATCTGAAATGATAGAAAAAGTGTAAATACAGAATCAAAGCAGAAAGATTTAACAGAAAATGTAAACATTCTTATACAGACAGCACAAACCAATCTAATTATTCTACAAAGAACTCAATGAATCACAGTTTTAAGATCTATTAAAATGTAGCTTTCTTGAGATGGAGTCTCTAGAACTGAAATCACATGTGTTCATATTGCTGGAACGCTGCCTCTGGCAGCAACATTTTTCCTAACTACTAGAGAAAATCAAATCATTCAATTTGCTTTTCTATTGCCTAGAAATAGAAAATTCCAGTTCAAATAGAAACTGTAGCCCAAATGTTTGAAGAACATTGAGACTTAGAGGGGCAGCAAAGAAGGACCTAGAAAAGATCATCAAATGTAAGGGTGCTTCACTGGAAAACAAGACAAAGATCATTCACATCACTGTATTCCCAATACTATGTATACAAGGGGCGTTCAATGTATTTTCAGTATCAGCATGAAGAAAAAGGAATAAATTGAAATAATTTTTATTTTTCAATGTAATCTCCCATAACGTCAATACACTTATTACATCTAGAAATTAACTTTTCAATTCCCTCTAAAAAAATACCCTTCCTTCTTGTCTAAAAAATGTGTGTTAATTGCCGCTTTGAGCTCTTCATTGTTGGAAAATTGCTTTCCACAAAGATCTTTTTTTTAAATTCGGGAATAGGTAGTAGTCAGTGGGGGCCAGGTCCGGGCTATAGAGTGGTTGGTTTATTTCTTCAAAACCACAGTCTCGCACAGCAGCCTTTGAAACAAGCGCCGTGTGAATGGGTGCATTGTCGTGAAGAAGCAACACACCTGTGGTCAGTTCCCCCGCCTTTTTTAATTGCTTCTCTTAAATTACACAGAGTGGTTGCGTGAGATGCTGTGTTTATGGTTTCACCTTTTTTCGTGTACTCGATCAATAAAATTCCCTTTGAGGCCCAAAACACTGTGGCCATGATTTTTCCGGCCGATGGAGTGACTTTGAATTGCTTTGGAGGGTCAGCACCTTTTTTATGCCACTGCATGGACTCCTGCTTACTTTCAAGGTCATAGTGATCTTCTCAAGTTTCATCTCCAGTAACAATCCAGTTGAAAATACTCAATGGCTCTTCACCAAAGAGCTCTAAAAATTTCCTAGAGCACTCGACTCGCACTTGTTTCTGAGGCGCCATGAGCATTCGTGGCACCCATCTTGCACAGACCTGTGAAAGGTTAAGATGGTCATGAAAAAATAGTAAATATGGTACCAATGGATAGGTTTGTCATCTTTGCTAACATTATAATTTTTATTCGGGCATCTTCCAATACAAGTTTCTCAATTTTTTTCACATTTTCTTTCATAGTGGCAGTAACCGGCCCACCCGAGCGAGGGTCGTCTTCAATGCTTTCTCTGCCCCTTTTAAATTCACTTGACCACTTTTGAACAGTAGATAATGAAGGTGCAGAGTCCTGATAAATGGCCACCATCTCTTTGTGAATGATTTTTTGACTCTTTCCTTGTTTTGTAAGAAATTTAATCACAGCGCAGTGCTCGATTTTCTTCAACATTGTCGAGTCAGTCATCATGGTCGTCTTTCAGTGAGGATTACTAGGGAACTAATGATCACAGTTATTTGAAATTTTGCATGTATACCCTCAGATAGTGTCATTAGCTAATGAAATAATTAAATTACCCATATCAATAGCAAATTAACCCGATACCGAGAATACATTGAACACCCCTCGTAAGTGTGAAAGCTGAACAGTGAAGAAAGCTGTCTGGAAGAAAATTGATGCATTCTGAACACGGTGCTAGAGGAAAGCTTTGAGAATATCCTGGACCAGTAGAAAGATGAACAAGTGGGTCCTACATCAAATCAAGCCAGAGCTTTTCCAAGAAGCTAAAATGACAAAAGTAAAGTTTTCATATTTTGGACACATCATGAGAAAGCAATCCATGCTAGGAAAAGTCCCTGGAGAAGACAAATCATACTAGGGAAGGTCAAAAGCAGAAGAAGAAAAGAAAGACCAACTAAGAGATGACTTGACTCCATAAAGGAAGTTGCAGCCTTGAATGCAGAACAGCTAAGCAAGGATGTCATGGACAGGGCATTTTGGAGGGCTTTTATTCTTGGGGTATCCATAAGTCAGAGAGGACTTGATGGCACATAACAACAAAAGCACTCAACAGAATATTATAAGATCTATTCCTCCTGTGTTTTAATTTGTGCCAATGAACGAAAAGAGAGAGACCACAAGGCCAGAAATTCTCCAAAAAATAAGATTTACTTAAACAACAGACTATTCATGTATTTATTACATTTCTATACTGTCCCATAGCCTGCAGACTCTGTGTGCTTTGCAAATTTAAAAATCATAGATACAATTCATAATAGTGAAAATCAATACAGTTTTATGGAGAATAGTGAAGATGTGTACAAAATGGGCAGTACATTGCATAAAATGACAAAACCATAATAAATGAAGTTGTGACTATCACAAAAGCAATAATAAAATGTATAAAATAAATAAATTGCATAAATGACATAAAATATTTCTTACATTAACTAGCTAAGTTAAAACGAGAGGGCTGAGTGTGGAGAACGTGTTGCTTGGAAAAGTATAAGCAAGTGACTTGCAATGACACTGAAGAATGTGATGGTGGTTATACATGACTTTCATGATGTAAACTATTCTGCAAACAGCATAACCTCAGTTCTTTTTTTGTATGACAGTAGACATCTTGCCTTCCAATCTATGGAGGACTACTCAGGCTTCTACTGAAACTGCCACTCCATAGCACTGAAAAACACAGTTTTGTGTTACTTTCAATGAATCTCAATCATGGGAGGCCAGGAAGCAGAGGGTAAGTTTGTTTGCTTTTACTGTTCAAAATAGCCCCAGCACCCCAGTTGGGATTACTGGGAGTAACTGCTCTGGCACAAAGAGTGAGGCTTGTTCATCCTACTTCTTTGACCTTAATAGGAAATGTTTTTATTAAAGTTCTTGTGAACTTTCTTCTTACAGTTTATCTGATTCTAACTTTGTATTGAAAATTAAGAATGGATATATGAACGCTCATGTTCTGCAATGCAAATTGTAGTAGGAAATTGCTACAGGGGCAAAACTACAACCAGATGCTTACTTTCTTGCTCAAAACAACTTAAAAATCATATTTTTAATGTGAAGTGGCTGGGCTCCTTCTATGCCCTGAATCAGATGCATTTTTTTTAAATGACAGACATGTTTGAGGTCGTGTCATATTTTCAAACAAGTGATATAGAGATGGGTGGAGAGAAGCACTATTGTGCTTGACTGCTTAAGGCACATGTTGCCTAAAAACCATCTTTGATGAATACGGCTTGGCCGATTCACAGAGAAAGGTATAGAGGAACCAGCATGGTTACACTTACTACTACTCAAAATTTCAGGCAAAGATCTTTTAGTTTCAGCAGTTAACTTGCAAGCTGTTAGTGACACTAGCATAGGCCTGGTTAATATAATTGATCCTGTTTCTGTGCCATTGATATTAAGCACAGATATCACCCATGGCAAAACATTTATGCGGATATTGAATTTCAGTTTGCTCACAGACAGGCTGACAAAGAGAAAATAGTTGAGATCACAGCAAATTTTTATGCAGACAATGGAACTGCAATGGATTCCTCTTCCCTTTTGTGGGACTTAATGAAGGCTATCTTGTGGGGGATGTTCACTTTGGAGGGCTCCCTGCCCCTATTAAAAAAGGAAACAATAAGAAAAACGATGCACTAACAAATTAAGTGGGAACCCTCTTTGTGAACATAAAGGAATGAGGAAAACATGTTGAACTAGTGGCTGTTGAGGCAAAGCTCTTGAAACTGGCAAAATGAATTAGGAATGAAGAGAAGAAAGCTATTGACTAGGGTTCTCAAACAAAGGTATGGTAGAACAGCAATTCTGACTATTATAACAGAAAAGGGTCAATAATAAACTTTTATGGCATACGATACACATTTAAAAAACAACAACTCTAATCTCTTGGCTGTAGATACCTTTATAGATGCCTTAGACATAATAACAATTGAGGCCAAAAACAGATCAATGCTTAACCAACCTATAACTCAGCCAAAGCTCCAATTCTATTACTCGGCTGAAACCAGGCAAATCCCCCAGTGTTGACAGTTTTATGGAAGAATTTTGTAAAGTTTTTGCAACCTCTATCTTGCTACATCTCACAATCCTCTTTCATGAATCTTTCTATGTTTCTAGAAATTTGGACAAGGGTAAGTATAGCAGTCATTCCTAAACTGCCAGGATCCTACTGCCTGATCAAGATGCCAAGCTATTTACATTCATCGCGGTCAAACAACTGAATCAATTCATTGCACAGTATGTCCATACAGATCAAATGGTTCATGCCAGGCTATCAAATGGCTAATGCTATCAAATGGATTTTAAGCATTGTCCATCCTAGCAACTCTACTAAATTCCTCTCTACTGAATCCTTTAAAAGCCTTCGATCAGGTGGAATGGCTACATCTACAAAGCCTTACAAAAACTGGAGACAGATGAGCTCTTGCAGACAGCAGTAGCCCAGCAATACGCTGCTTCAGAGGTACGCATCCAAATAAAATGGAAACTCTACAGATGCAGCTGCATAGAGGAACACAACTAAGGATGCTGACTCTGACTCTGACTCTTCCTTTTGCCATTGTTATAGATACCTGGCACAAAAAACTCATTGTTGTCTTCAAATTAAAGAGATCATGACTATCGTTTTGAATAATCCTTTTGCAGATGATTTCCTTCTATTTCTTTCTAATCCTGAAACTGCTATACTGGAACTTAAAGAAATGTCAGTCACTTTCTATAACCACACTGGTCTTAAAATAAATTATGACAAATGTGGCTTATCTTGCTTACAAACACTTTAACTCCCCCCTACCCACCCACCCACCCACCCACCC